CTGGTCGTAACCCGAAATGTTCATTAGTAGAGGCGTTCATAACCCGAGGTACCACTGTATTCTGTTTTAGATAAGATTAGACTTGACTGGCCAAAGTTTGATAAAGCCATCCTGGCTGTGGTCTCCAACTGCTCTTTCAGCAGGAGCCAAAAATCCCAAAGCCGAGGGAAGCACAACTCTATCAAGAGCCAAAATTGACATCACCACTGAATTTATTGGCTTCTGAACCAATAGCCGCTCCATCTTGCCTGGATTATGCAAACAAAATACTGGCAACTCCTGGCGCCACCACATTGCTTTCAATGTGTATTCCCTATTGTGTGCCTGCTTACTCTCTTGTAATCTCTCCCTCTCCAATCTCTCCAATCTGCAAGGGAGAAAACAAAAACAAAACAAAAACAAAAAAACCCAGGTCAGGCACAGGACAATGCGTACTGACTGGTGATCATGTGACTGAAGGATGCTGCAAAGGTTGTAAATGTGGGTATTGGTCAAGTTATTGAAAAGTTATTTTTTCTATAACTTGACCAATACCCACATTTACAATTACAAAATAAATTGAAAAGTTATTTTTTCAGCACTGTCATAACTTTGAATGGTCACTGAACGAGACAGTCAGTAAGCAAAGACTACACGTATATCTTAATTTGATTTTAGTACCTTCTTTCTGTGTGAATCCATGCAAATCTGTGTGAAACACAAATTTATTGAAAGTATATATTTAAGGCAGGACTTCTCAAACATTGTGATAACATAATCCCCTAAAATAATAAATGAGTTTGCGGGGGCCTCCTACTTTGAGTAAAACTGGGAATAGGTTTGGGTCAGAAATAAATATAATTCTTATTTTCAATAGTGAAATGTTATTCTATATATCAGATCAAAGCAAATGGGAAAAACTAGTGAGCTTCACTAATATGTTCACTTCTACAGAACGTTTAACCTCAATCTCAGCATCGCGCCAAGTTGCCAAGACGCCAAACGTACATTTCGAAAGGAATTTCCAATCAAGAACTCGTGGTCAGTGTCAGTGAATTGCCCATTTCCAAAAATAGATTGCTACATGATCAATAGGTGTCAATTGTTTTATTATGTAGACAGAGACTTTTGCTCATTTCAGCTCGCTTAGAACCCCAGCCAAACATGCCTTGCATTCTTATTAAGGCAAAACTTTGATCAACCTTTTTGACATACAATAAATTCAGTCATTTTGTAAAATAAACAAACATGCTAGTATAAAAAAAACATTTCAAAAGAATAATAAATTACTATTTATGTAATAATTTTTGTAAATAATAATTGAAAGAATACAATAATTGAAAGAATACAATATTGTCTGGGCAGTTGATAAGAAGAAGTGGAAAGAAACCAGTTTAAGTTTAGTAATACTCAAAAGTTTGAACTCGACTGCCAGCCTGAGACAATTTAAAAGTATTTTGCAATATCCACCACCCCTGAATCATGGCTCACAGTTTAAGACAGTGTTTCTCAATCTCTGTAATTTTAAGATGTATGGACTTCAATTCCCAGAATTCCCCAGCCAGCATGGAGTTGGTCCACACATCTTAAAGTTGCTGAGATTGAGAAATGCTGGTTTAAGAACTCCTGATTTGAAGCATTACGCCAAGCTAATAAACTGCCCTTCCCTAGCAGTTTATGTAAAATTAAACAGTAACTACAGGTAATCCTCATTTAGTGACCATGGTTGGGACTGGCAGCTCTGTCATTAAGTGAAACAATTGCTAAGTGGTAAATCAGGTGACCATGACTGTGTTTTCCTTTTCCCCACTCCCCTGTTCTTTGGAATACTCACCCTGGTGCTGGGATAGCTGGCTCACAGCTGCTGCCTGTAACTGACAAGACTAGTCAGTTTCACTCCTTTGACTTTTGTTTGCCTCCTAGCCACTCCCCCACCCCTTTGGAATATTCACCCCAGTGCTGGGATATTTAGCAAGAAGGGAAATAATGCTTGTATTTACATTCATTGGAGAGGAAAGGAATTACAAGAGAGTAAGGAGACACACAATGGGGAGTGTTGTGCTGGCTCCAGCAGCCACCAGCACACTGTGCAAACAGCCAGTGTATTCCTCATTGTGTGCCTGCTTGCTATCTTGTAATCTCTTCCTTTCCAATCTCTCCACTCTGTGAGGGGTGGGGATGGAAGAAAAAAATGGGTCAGGCACAGGAGAGATTGTGTAAAAAGATTGCTTGTTTCTTTCTCTCTCTCTTTCTTCCCCCCCCCCCCTTTTTTAAGTAATCTCTCCTCTCTGCAAGGGGGGGGGGAACAAGTGATGAACCTGTACTTCATTAATCTGAGAGAAGTTAGACACTATTATAAGAATACTGTCAGTTTCACAGTGGAAAAACCACATTTCCTTCTAAAGCCCCTCACATGGTGTATTTAATCTACTGCAGCAAAACAGCAGGGAAGAGCAATTGAGGCTGCCGGTTTACTTCCTCTTCAAATGCTTTCACTTCATAAGTGCAACATGGGCCTAAGCTACAGTGACTATATTTTCTTGGAAAAAATAAAGTATGACCCTGAAAAAGGGACAAATCTGAAAGAGGGTCATAGGGATTAAACAATGTTTATAACTTTGCTTTACAAAGGAAAATTCAAGAGCAAAACCAAGAAAATAAATAATTAAATTAAATAAATCTAAAGGACAGCTTTCTGAAATAAAAGACATATGGTCACTGTAACCTAAGCTGAGCATGCCAGCTCACTAACAGGCTATCTTTTTTTGTTACTGGGTAAAGACTCCTGAGATTGCTTTTAGGGTGCTGGGCTTGGATATTTGATGAAACACAATAGAACTGCACAGCCCTGCCAATTAATATGTAGTAAACGGAATCCTTTTCAGCCTGCTGTTCACACTAATTATAATCTAGCTGAATTTTACTGCCATAAAACTAGGCTGAGATATTAGGGATCTTGGATGATTCCATAAATCAATACAAAAGATGTATTAATAATTACTTTTTTTTTTCCAGAAAGCAGGACTTCATATCCCCATTTCCTTTTGCAACTGTCTAGTGAAAATGTTTCAGTTTGTTTAACTATTAATGGACAGTCACAAACACCCTTAAATCTGCTGTCTGATCCAAAGAAAGGTATGTGCTTTCCATAAAAAATTGGGTAGCTTTGAGTATTCAGAGTTCTATGGGAATGTTTTCCTTGTGACAGTCTATAAAAATCTATTCTTCTTTTCTGATTCTTGTTTCTGCTGACTGTACTTTTCATCTCATTTCAGACAACTACATTGTAAAATATTGCAGATTCCAATATGTATATGTGGGTGTATTGACTGTTCTTAGTTTCTAAATTCATAGATTATTTGTGATATTTATTTTAAATGCTGAGGATTTCCATCAACTCTATTGATTGCCCTGTCTTATATGTGCTACACAGATGCAAAAAATATTTAGGAGTGTTGGCATGATGGATGAATGCTTGGCTGAAAGGTTAGCTACCTAGACAAAAACACATTTTGTGAGTCTGGGTATTTGTGTAGTGTAACTAAAGTCATCTTCAAATTGAGCTTGACTGCTGGTGGACTTCATGGACATGTTTACATGCCTTCTTCCAGGAGGGAGATAGAGATGACGATAGCTTCCCTGTCTAGCCAATAACCCTGTGATTTGGTGGTGTTCTCCCATCTAAATCCTAATTGGGTCAAACTCAGCTTAGCTTCTGAGTCTAAGTAAGATGAGCAGGGTAGTGCTCACCAGCCAATTGAATTGGCAGTCAAATTAAGTAAAACACAATCTTGTGAGATGCAGATGTTTTTACTCATTGTGTTTATATTGCAATTATTTTTGTACTAATGAATGTTGGGCAAACACTGACATGTTTCCTGAGTATTCCTTTACACAATGTATTTTCAGGGATCCAGGTGACTGGCAAGCTTGGTGAAAACATGCACTTTACAGAGTTTGAAATAACCTATCCAAGGCTTAACGTGACAGTAAAGGTGTCAACAGAACGAATTATACTGAAGAGTAATGGCTCTATACACTCTTTTGTGTGGACAATAACAGAATCTTTAACACTTGAAGGGTAAACCTGCTGTTTTTACTTTTCTTTTATAGACAATAGCGCTGTCCAATTCCTAAGACATACTCTCTTTTTGCTCAATCTGCCAGACTGAAAGGTATCCTTCTCTCCTCTCAGAGACAATGCACATCCAAATAAAAATGGCTGGATATCAGACTGCAATATCAAGAATACTGAACTCCTAATTTAGGGTTTGGGGGTTTTTTTCCCCTCCCTGGAAAAAAACAGGGAGTTTTTTAAACGCAGTTTAAAGCGTTTTATTGTAATAGATACTACATAGTATATATGAGCGCATGTTCAGAAAGAAAGTGATATGGTTTAAACCCCATAAGCCAGTGTTGTCCAAACTTGGCCACTTTAAGATGAGTGGACTTCAACTCCCAG